TTATTTCTTTATTGGTTGTATTAAAGCCATCAGTACTCAGCTGGGGTCATTCAATTCCAGCCATTCCTGACAGCATGCTGTAAAGCGGAAATATGTATCAGCAAGGATTAAGGCTGAACTAGTTGGCTGCACTGTCATAGATGCATACAGTCTCAGGTGACCTCAAACTCTGTTCAGGACATTAATGTTCTGACCATATTGATCTGCATTTTCCTGTGACAACGCAAGGCGGATCAATCTCTCCTGCATCAGAGGAGTCGACTGACCTGTATGGATCTATCAAACAAAACCCTTGACAATGTGTGTAAAATTCTTATTTCCCTTTACATGTGTCATCTGTATCTGTACAGACACCCTTAGGGTGTACACATAACAGGTTTTCCTGAAACATAAAGCAAAGACATAACCGGCTCTGAAGAGTATTTACAGTATTAAAATAAATTACAAATATCCCACCAAAAAGGATCCAAATAGCCTCACATACATCAGAATGTTTATATTTGCTTCAGTGTATTAAATTTTTGGATACAATGAATGTAAAATATCTTGCAAAAGTGAAAGTCCTAAACTGTCAAACATTCTATGGATTACGTTACAATTCAACGAAGTGATTCATATTGCTTCCACTATGCTGCAACCCATCTGTCTTTACCATAGCCAAGTTATGGCAGTCATACTTCCATACACTTGCATTACAGAATTCTACTTCAATATGATGCCTGAACTGTCCACTATGGCTTGTCGGATTATTGAGGAATTAGCTGCCAAGAAATTTCTAACTGTACCAATTAGAAAAATACCTTAACATCTCCGCGCCAACCCCCAGAGCTGCAGCAGTTCCTATCCAATTTATACTTACCATTACCTCTACAATCAGACAGCAACTTATGTATCTTACACAGACATTCTGAGTTACCATGTTTGATTTGATGTTTTCATGGCAATGTCTATAAGGGGTTCAGGGTCCTGCGGTGTAGCAACGTGTAGTTTGGAGATGGCCCAATGTTTAGGAAGAATATGTCACCTCAAAAAGGTGGGGCTCTCTCCGAACTACACGTTGCTACAACTCAGAATGCTGTACTCTTCATTCCAAGTACCAGCTGCAGCCTCCTCACTGTCGCCATGCAATTCCGAAGTATCGACAAACGCAGAACACGCAACTCTCAGTTCTCAATTTCTACACCTAACTCCCATGTCAAATCAAAACCAACTGTTAACTACTCATGACTGTGTATTCCCTGTATGTGCAATTACAATGTATACTCTCTAAGCGAACAAGTCTTCGGCCAAGATATTCCACACACATATGGCTGTAACCACAAAGATTTCAGTCTTCTGGGATCTGAAACCATGTACTCTGGTAGAATGTTCCCAACGTTTCTGAGGAATGTGAGGCCTCCATCTTCAGGGTCTTATCACTTTACATGTTCCTCCAGAGTGGTGGTAACATTCTACGAGTCTACATGGCCTCACATCTAAGGAGACAACAGTTTTTCAAGTTACTAGGTGTTTAGAAGAGGCCACTGTCAATTATTATAAACTGTCACAAGCTGATCCTGTATGCAGATATGAGAGCCACAGTTTACAGGACGAGTTTCGGGAAAGAGACAACATTGGCTGTACTTTATTCGATAAAAACTAGCAAAAGAGAGGTAAGGTGCAAGCATACAGAGTCCATTTTACATATACACAAAAACTTTACCAAACGTTTGTAACTTCTAACACTTCTGTAAGACATACATGAAAGTGATTTAGACCAATCAAAGTGGAAGCTGATATGCATTAGACAGGTTTCATTAGGGAACTCCCATGTCACTCTCCATCAAAATGTGTGTTGCCTGCGAGAACTGAAACATACAACAATGGGAATATAGACACAGTTCTGTCACAGAAAATGCTAAATTTTCTGAGCTATGAATATCAGCTTGGTCATGCTAGTATTAATGAGCTGGCTGTTTTCTTTGATTCAAAGCTACATTTTCACACACATGTTAATTACATTTTTCTGAACGCATAAAGCTTTTAGGCCTTATTCGCGCCATTACCTACAGACTTCCCTCCCTGGAGTGCCTGTATGTACTGTACTTTACTTTAGTCTGGTCCAAGTTGGAATATGCCTCGGGAGTTTGGAACTCCATCACCTCGACTGATGCCAATAAGCTTGAGCACATTCAGCAGAAGTTTGTTTCCCTTTGTTTTTATCGTTTTTTCATTCATATTCCATATACTTATATTGATGCTCTAGAGAAATTAAGCATACATTTCTTACATAAATGGAGACATCAATTAGATGCACTTTTCTTGTTCAGGTCTTTCGTCTTAAATCATGCGCTTCTCCTTTGAAAATGTTAGCCTTCGTGTTCCTCCCAGCAATCTTATGGACTTCTCATTGTTTGGTGTTTGTCCCTCTAACAAACACAGTCCTTCTGCTTGGTGCGCTTATGCTGTCAACGCGGTGGGTAAAGATCTCAACATATTTCAATCAGAACAGTTTCTGTCAATCACATTAAACCCAAAATTGTTAATAATATTTGATAATACTCCTAATATTACGTGCGAGTATGTATGTAAAATTTAAATTAAATTTGTTTAGTGGGGGGTGGAGTCCAACTGGGTCCAATCGGCACAACGGCCACTGATTGGCCTATTGTAGCCTGCCCTGGGTGATTATGATGATGGAGAATTTGGTAGAATGAAGATTGGCAGGGGAAACCTAAGTACTCTGAGAAAACCCACAACAGAGCCACTTTGTCCACCACAAATCCCACTTGACCAGACCCTGGCTCAAACCAGGGCCTCCGTGGTGGGAAGCCAGCGACTAACCACTTCAGCTACGGCATGGCCTGTCTAATTACGTATATTGGTTTTGTTTTATTTTCCTCTCTTGTTAACTTTAATTTTTCTTGGAATGATTATCAATTTATTTCCATTATATGTATAGACTCTCAAACTTTGTATTTTGTTTTTTAATTATTTTTGTGTATTTCTATGTACTTGTGGTAACCTGTTAACTGGCCTCTGTGCTGTTAAGTTTGCATGTAAATAAACATGAATTGAATTATTATTATTATTATTATTATTATTACTAGGATGTTGAGCTGCCACACAGATAAGTACAAATTAAATTGGTTATTGTTATTATTATTAACTTCTATGTGTGTATGTATGTGTATTGTCCTTTCACGTCACATAATAGCATAACCATTCAAAATGTACTTATTTTATTTTTCTCACCTGTTAATGCTAACTTTATAGTGTTTCTTGTAATTATTATTAATTTACTGCCCTTGTATAGTGTCATATTTTGTTCTTTAATTATTTCGGTGTATTTCTAGGTACTCTTGCTAACTTTGTAATTGGCCTCTGTGCTGTTAAGTTTGCACATAAATAAACATGAATTGAATTGAATTATTAATTACATTAATTGCATTAATGTGTCTTTGCTCCAGTGCTTACATTTAATTAGTTTTTGACTTCATGTTGTGTTTGTCCATATGCAATTACTTTTGTCTACACTGTGCAGTGTCTGTAATTGGCCTCTAACAGAAACGAGTACCACCAATCTTAGGGGAAGGGGGGTAAAGGGTGGCCATCACGTAAGGCTGACAACCTTCCTGCTATTTGTGAGCTGATTGCCTAGAGAAATTTTGGGAGCCTTGACATCTCACAACCCTAGAGGCCTCCATGGCTTCCTATAGGGATAGCTTTACCTCTAAAGTTCTTTCCTTTACAAGGAAAAACAGAACTACTATGGTTTTGTGATTATTTCCTTACAGTATCCACCAGATTTGAATATACAAACAAGTTTACACAGTATCAGATTTTAATCTTTCACAACGGTGAAAAATCTCATTCTGGTCTCCTAAGTTATGACACTGTGTTGCCTGGTAGATGGTTACCAGAGAACACACTGCCCCTGGCTTCAACAGACCAGCAGAAAACTTTGGTAACAATGTCATAAGCCAGAAGACCATGAAGGAATTTCACATAAAAACTGATATCAGGCATAATGTTACATTGCGGAATCCTGTTGCACTGCTTAGATCTGACTTTGCATTTTACTTTGATGCCATCTGTGTGCAACGTCAGTTAACATTCTCTCACAGTTTTCTCTTTATCGTCACCACATGTTTCGGCCTAACCGACCATCTTCAGGTGTACAGGTTGTTGTGAACAAGGAACCTGCTGCTCACCATAATGCTGTTCTGTTTCTGTTATGTAGAGGCCTCGGATTGTGTCTGGTTAAGTGGGTTAACCATCTGTTTTTCGTTTAGGTGTCCTTGAGATGGGCATATTTGTTGTGCTGTGGTTGGCCATCAACACAACAAATTCCCGCCCCAGCAAGAACATTCAAGACAGCCACAGCCAAACAAAACCATGAAGCATACACCAGCAGCTCAAGG